CTGCTGGCCAGCACTGAAATAGCTCTCCTGCTCTAAATACAGGGCTTTGTTGGGCTGGAGTGCTTGCCATACAGTAGATAAAAACCTCTTTATTTGCCTTTACAATGTACCTTTACTATGCAGCTAGAGCGATAACTTAACCTAAAAACCTCAGTGATATGGTTAAAAATGTCAGAGACCTTCCTGGGAGGAAACATTAAGCAGATGTGATTGTTGTACGAGTAGAACATGTGTACGAGGACACACCATTTCCCAAGAAACTCTGGGGCAAGATTTTTTCCGGACAGTGAGGTGACTTTTTTTTTTTGTAGTTGTTTTTCAACATTTCATTCAAATGAATGGGAGTTCTGGGGCATGACTCAGATGAGAATGAGCCATAAAAAGAAATAGCCTGAGAGTAAACAGAGTTGTATTTCTCTCCTGCACCTCCATACGGAGTGTCTCAGTGCCCTGTGGTTTTTTATAATCCCCTAGCACCAAAAGGGCGCTTTTTTGATGCTGGGGAAGGGCAACTAGTTTTTTGTTAGATTTATCTAGTCATTCAAGCCAGGATGATGAGCCAGATCTTTCTACTACTGATCAGGCTATTTTTGCAGATTAAGATCTTGGTTCTGTCAGAGTTCATCAGAACATTCCACTAGCCTGTTTCACAGAAAAAAAAAAAAAAAAAAAAAAGTGATGTTATTAAATTATATTTATGAGATAGGCATTTAGTCATCAGGAATAGAAAAGGCCTACCTGGGACTGTTCTTTCTCATTCAAGATTTTCAGTGCCTTTAAACACTTGTCTTTTAAAGCCTTATCTGTGGCTTGCAGCCTCTTCAGGGCAGAGCCTTTCTGCTACTATGTTCCCACAGCACCTAGCACAAGATCTGTCCATGTTATGTGTGTCTTCTAGGAGAATACATCTTTCACCCATCCTCACTCCCTCAGAGCCCTCTGAGGTGTCAAAGCCAACTTTTTTAGAAGCAGAAGCTGGCATTTGTGTTTGGATTGCAATCTATATAGAAAACTGCACTTTATTTATTTAATGCTCTGACTTACTTCCATCAGCAGTAATGGCCTTGATCCCCTCACCACCATCATTTAACAGCCTTACTGGGCTGGTGGAACCACACCTGCTTGTCAGCACAGAGATGGCCAAACCAAGTACTTAAAACTAGGCTTCATCATGCTGCTATTTGAAGCCATGAAAGTTCTGCCAGCTTTTTTTATGGGAATCAACACAGGCTGTGCTGACAACATGAAAATATGCAAAGATTCATACAAGCAGAGAACATAACCTTTGTAGATTTTGACTTTGCCTCATTCAAATCATATTCTGGCCAACTCTCTCCTTTCTTGTATTACAAGTAGTCTTTCATGAAAAATAATTAAAAAAAAAAAAAGGTTTTTTCTTTCTGATTTTTCTTTTGTTGTCTCTTTCTGTACTTTGCATTGGTAACTTGCAAGAATACAAGCTGCTTGGGTAGAATTTCTTCAAAAAACTGCTTTTTAACAAGCCTGTCAGGGCATCTCACTAGTGAAACCACGGGCAGCATTTACGACCGGTGTACTGAGAGCACACCCATTTCTGTCCGCCAGGCTCATCTTCCTTTCAGATTGTTCTGGCAGTTTCCCTTCGTGCCTCACAGGACACTGCTGACAGCCCTGGTAAGTCTCCCCCAGATGCCAAGAGCCGCTCTGCTCCTCTACTGAGCAACAGGGGCTCAGAGCATTCTCTGAGGCTATTGGCCCACCATGCCTGTCCTCGGGGTTTATCTCAACTCTACCCCCGGTTTTGTCACTGTATCCTTCAATCCCCTCTCTCCCCATAAAAGTGTCTAGCTGTCTCTTAAACTCACTTTACCATTTGCTTCTTTGACCTCACTTGGCAACTTATCCTTGTGTTTATTATTTGAGGTGGAATAGTTCTGGCTACATTCCTGGTTTTACTCTTAATTGTCTAATTTTTAGAATGGTGTCAGTGGGGTTGGGATTTGGGTTTAGGCTTTTTTTAACTCATCACTCTTGTGGCCAGGTCTTCTGTTTCATTAGGCTCCTTTGTGTCATCAGGACTTCCAATAACTAAAAGAATCCTAATGAATCTTTTATTGGATCTTCCCAAATATTGCAGCCGGGCTTTCTTGTCCATTAGTGCCATTGTGAACTGCATACACTGCCTTTAATTACTTGTTAATTAGAAGGGAGGGAGGGGGAAAGGAGAGTTTTCCCCAAGCAAGGAAGAGTTGCCCACCTAAAAAGAGGAGTGCTTCCCCCTGCTGCACTTGCCCCAGGGGGAAGGTGCAAACAGGGCTTGAGCAGGTCTGAGCAGCAGAACTTTTTCCCGTGCTCTGGCAGCGTATGTCTGCCTGCTGGCTGCCTCTGTGTGCCCACCCACCTCACGCTAGGTCCGAGCAGCTCCGAGGTGTGGGGCTGCAGGCCCCTTCTCAGAGCCCCTCATCCCCTCCAGAGCCTTGTCAGGCTTTTGGACAAGGTGCTGGGAGCAGCTCACTTACCACATTGGATTTGCTGTCAGTGATGACAGGAAAAGACTGCACACGACAGGTCCCCTGCCTGGGGAAAGGGAACGAAGAAGAAACTCTTTTTTAAGGCACCTACCTGCATCTTCAGGAACCGTTCCCAGTTGCTCTAAAGGTTGGTTGGTGAAGTGAAATGAATCCTACTGACATCCTGAAACAGATAGGCCTGGTTGGAGTGGCTTCTAAAATGAACAACTCACCTAACCCACCATGAAAAGAGAAGGAACAAACTACTTTGCAAGTCCCCCCTTCCCTTACAGGAATCAGCACCTGCATGGAGAATGGACTGCCTTCAGGTTGAGTGCCTGATGGCAGCAAGGTGACCCCTTGTACCTTCTGTTCGGTTGGTACAGTCCGTACCCTAAAGAACATGATGTGCACCAGAGGTAGGTCATGTGGTTACAATTCAGGCATGTTAGCTCTCATGTTTTACTGAAGTAGAAGGGACACTTTGCTGGATTCACTTACCTTGAAACAATTGGTGTAAGCGAACCCTTGAATCCCAGCTGACACCATCAGAGAGAGATCACGTTCCCTTTCCACATCGTGCACATCATGAAGTGACAAGAAAAAGTAGAAGTATTATCTATATAATTAACATTCCCCATTCTGGGGGACTTGGGAAGCTACAGGACAGGAATAGTGTGCCAATCACAGTAAGACATTAACCATCAGCCAAAATAACATTTTAATTTAGCAAGTTAATTGTGGGATTGAAAATTTTCCAGAGAGCTAAGGATACTTGTAAGATATAATAGAGTGCAGCCCCCTCATCTTTCATATGGAGGTCAAGCTCACAGAAACTTGGCCTGCTGAGCAGTTTCTTCTTGCTGGAAAATGAGGAATTGCATGCTGCAAGAACCAGCGTCTGGGGGCTGCTTCTGAGAAACTCATGTAGTAAAGCACTTCAGTAAAGGTGGCTTACCTTGCTGATAGAATCCTGAAAAGAAGGAAGAGGAAAGGAAGAGACATAAAATGCCTCTCAAGACAAAAACATAATAACGAACTAAAATAACTAGGAATAAAAATTTTAAAACTCTTGTAAGCATTTACCATTGTCCTCACTGTTCTCGGTGAGCTGAGGAACGTAATGATCATCAAACAGCAAGAGTAGCAATAAGAACTTTCACTGAAAACATGGTGACAGCAGAAACAAAAGGACATCCTCTGTCACTCATCAACCCACGCTTCATTTTTTGTAGCCATCTACCATTATTATTTGGCGTGCAATTCACTAAGCAGCGAAACCATGGCTGTAGTTATTTACAGGTCACTGGAAGTCTGGCCTGTGCTGCAGCGGAGTTTTGGTTGTATTTCATAAAAGATACTTTTATTTATGTTTGACTAATGCAGGCCCAACTGGAGGCTGATTTTTCTTTTTTTGGCTTTTAGTATAAACACTCATGGCAGCTCTCTATTTTGGGTGCAGACTGAAAAACAGATTGTTTTGTAGCTGCAGAAGACTGCTGGGTAAAGCAGAGGACATTGTTATTGTGACTGAACTTTTCTCTCAAGAAAGCAGGAGGAGTTGCTTTATTTTTTAATTCTGTGGAGTTTTATGTACACCATTCGCTCCAAATATTTGATGTTTGCCACACTTGTTATGAGTTTCTCCAGAGAGATGCTGTCTTTTGGCAGCAAAAGATAAAGTTGACTGATATAAATGAGCCACAGTACCCCAACAGTAATTAACAGTGATGCAATACCCATGCGAAAAAGAGGACTTGAAGAATTAACTGTTGACTTTTCTTGACGATGCAGCTGCACTTTAAGAGAGAAAGCTCAACCCATCATAGAACTCCATTGTGTACATTAGAGAAAAAAGCTTGGCAAGATACATTAAAGATTTTTGCTAAAGAGATACAAATATTTTGCGAGGTCAAAGGGCATTGAGGCAGGCTGTACTTACTTCCAAAGAAAAGTAGGCAGTATGACAAAGAAACAGTAATATTTTTTTATCTTCATTTTCACACTTCATCATCTAAGAAAGACTGTCTTTTTCAACCTGCTGAACTGATTTAAGCCACTCCAACTCTAAGTTAACTTTTACTTAAAAGTCACTCTATGACATCCTAATCTAAGAAGTTATCTGTGCTTATGGTTTCAGCGCAGTTCTACAGAAGGCCAGTACTGCTATTTATAAACTGGATTTTACTATTCTACAAAGTTCTTATACAAATCTTATGGGTTGAAAGAAAAGGAATAATTTGGTAAGAAGACGAACAATTGAAGCAACTGCTTTATAGCACAATATGAAACTTGACACTGTTTTCTGCTGCCAGTATGATTCCCAAGTGAGATGGATAAATTGTGGTCAAGACCTGGACAGGTTAACTAGTGGTCATCAGTGCTGGTGGTACCTTTATATACAAAAAAAAAAAAAAAAAAAAAAAAAAAAAAAGGATACTATTGGACAGGGCATTTGAAATTTAATACCAGACATGAAACAAGACATCTGTTGGACTCTCATTTGTTTCGCTTTGAATGGGCTTTAATTGAAAGCTCAGTGAAAAATGCAGGTTACATTCTTAGTGTTATCAATAGTTTGTAACAGCAACAACATCAGAACAGTGATGCATCTAATATTTATACACTTTCTAATTTTAGATGTCTAAGAGCAATACATTATCAGATATATATATATACACACAATTTCAAGCAATTAAAAGTAAATAATAAACCCCTCCTCCCAAAACCCTGAAACAATATATTTCCTTACACTAATAATGTCTTTTTCACATATACTTGACAAAGAGTCTTTTTAAGTTACTTATCTTAAGAGTAATCTGTTAATGGAGATCCTGGACCAGCCCCATTAAAAGTTCAGTTTTAAGTTTATACAGCTTGCTAGCCACATAACCAGTGTGGCTTTACATTGTAAACAAATCCCAAATGTCTACAATGATTGGAATTACTTTTGTGTAAAGGAGACCTATGCATCTCATGATAGAATAAATTTAAACCAATACATTAAAAAAGGAGAGAGAAAGGGAGAAGTTAATTGACAAAAGTTTTGGGGGATCAATTATGTGATTATTTAAAAAACAAGTTAACTTAATGGTAAGATTCTTATTTTCTGTACAGAGAGGCTCTGGTTCATCTAGTTTTAGCTGCTCTAGAAATATGTCCTTTAAAAATAGGTTTGAATTGTGATATTCAAAAGCAGAGCTTCCAACTTTATAAGCTTGCCCTCTGGCAGTACAAGTACAAAGTTTAACAAACGTATCTCGGGTGATTGTTCCATCTCACCTTGTGAGGAAAGCTGTAGTAGCATTTGGAAACCTCAGCATATGTACAGATGAAGTAGGGTAAAGCTTACCTTCAACAGGGAGGAATCCCCTACCCACTGCAGCACTTTAAAAGGTACAAGAGTTTGTACCTAGAAAAGTTCAAGTGAAAATAAAACCAGAAGACGAGACAGACGTGAAAGGTAAGCATAGTTTATAGCAATCTTGAAACTCTGGCAATCTTGCTTACTTTTTAACAAAATTACAAATAAAAATCTTTTTAATTTATTGAATTGTGTCAGTCCAAATGGAAGACAAAGCTGAGCAGAATCCTACGGTTTAGTTAACTTGTGTCAAATGGGATGCGAAGACAGCTGCAGCTTTCTGACAGAGGTGATCGAAGATGGCTGATAAAGTTTGCAGTAGCTCATAATGTCCCATCTGGTTTATTCACTTGTTTGAACTGTCTAAAGGGCCAACTGCAGTTTAGTCATGTTCCTCTGGTGCATGTTGTGATGACGAACTAATTCATCAGACCTGGCAAATTTTTTTTGACAGCTGGGCCACCGGCAACTGAAAGGCTTTTCACCTGTTAACAAAACACCCTGTTATTAACCGGGTATACAGCTTGCCTGAGACACTGCTATTTGTTTTCTTTCTGCAGGGCTGTGAGGAGCTAGGCAGAGGCCCTGTCAGGAGGAACGGCATCCCGGGCTGTCCTGAGAGGGTGTGGGATGCCCTCAACTCCTGCTCACATCAGCACTCAGTGCTTTCCTACATATCTCTCAGCTGATCTTTACCAACAGCCTTTTCAGATGACGTAGAACATTTTGCAGTGGTTCATTCCTGAAGACAAGCCCTTACTGAGCACCGTGTCCCCGTGTCTGTGCTACTCTCAGCTCTCCAATGAACTAGTTTAAAAGTCGCTCTGGCATTCGCACAAGCTTCAGTCACACCTCGGACTGTGGTGGAGACATACTGTTAGTCACTGTGAAAACTGGGACTCTTTAGAGCTTGACCTCGAGTCAAGGAGAGTTTTTCCAGCTAGTTCAATGAGGTTTGGCTGAAGTTCTTTGAAACTGGTGAGTGTAAGTGAATATGGTAGAAGTAATAGAGTTCAGCATGAAGTCTGCTGGGCAGACTGAAAGTTTCCCAATACTGTCTAAATAAAATAGATTCACATCTATGGGAGATGTTAAAGGCTTAAAATAGTCAGTATTTTTCTAACATTTCCATGAGCATAATATTCACTAAAAATGACCCTAAGCAAAGCACATTCAATTTTAACAAGAAATGCAATCATCTTTTTACAGTTTAACCTGGTCTCTCGATTCTCTACAAAGTTTAAGTGGAATTTCAGGCCGTGTTTCTGATGCCGCAGGAATGCTGATGGAATGCTTTCATTAGCTCAAAGCAGAGCCGGGTGACTCATGTTTCTTTTAGAATTGCATTTTCTTTTTTTTCCCCAAAAAATAAATGCAATATTTTAATGTAGGTTCAGCTCTGGGGCCGAGCTCTTCAGTTCTGTCTACACACCTCGTACTCTCCAACTCAAGACACACTGGGGTGGTAGGAGCTCACCCAGATATCTTCTCTTCTTTGCCCCACACTTTGTGTGTTTCACAAGCATCCAGAAAGGCAAAAGGGGATCTGGGATTGGCATAAATGTGAGTTCTGTTTGCAAAATCCCATGCAATATATTTAAGGGGAGGAGTGTGCGTTTAAAATCTACTTTATCCACTTAACATACATGCTGGCAAAAGCATCAACCAACTCACGTGAGTGCATAAAACAGTATGGGACAAAACTGATCTGGTCAGAGCGACTGATAAACATCACAGATTGTATAAAATGGTCTTCTTTCATCTCAGCAGCGTTAGCAAAACCATCCTGTGAACTGATGTGAGTTATCCCTTACTGGCCAGTTTTTCACTGAACTACTACAGTAAAAGCAAGCACAGTTTTGCTGTTCCACAAGCAATTGTGATGGTCCTCTCGCAACAGGAGGCAGCAATCTCTATTAGTTCCATGCTGGGTGCAAATTACTTTGTACGGCTTCACTGTAGAGATATCAGAAATCACATTTCCATTGCTAAAAATGTAGATGGATGTATGGAGTTTTCCTTCGATTCATGTTTTTTGCTTTCTACAGCAAAGATTGCTGTTACAGTAAAATTGCTTGTGCAGACAGAAACCCCTGAATGTGTAGCTTAACAAATTTTTTGGATGGAATAAAATAGGGATTGGAATAAAATCCAACAAAATTAGGATGGAATTAGATGGAAGTCACCTGTGTTCTGCTTAATCAAGATGTAACATGGAGCAAGTTAACCTGAGCTAGGTGTTTTGTTGGAAAATTTACGTGGTACAAGGAAGAAAGAGGAATGAAGCTACAGGGCAAGATGGAGATGAAAAATCCCCACCCACCACTTATGCTCATTCCCTTCAGGAAATGTGTACTTCACAGTCAAAGGAGCATGACACATCCAAAACCGCCGACGGGGAGCACCATCACAGCAGCACGCAGCTGGGCTGCTGAGCTCACACAGAACCTGAGCCAGTGGCAGGCTGCAGGCCCACGCAAAGCTCTGGGCTATGGGGTTATCAGTGCTCAAGTGAGGCTGCTTCCAGCAACGAGTGCAGTGTGGGCTTGGATCACATGGAGCGAGGAAGAGCTAGAATGGGGAGATGACTTTCACTAGAAAAAAGAAAGCAAGTTCTTCACTGATGGAGGTAATTTGGGGTGAAAGATTACTGGAGTCATGAAAGTCTTGAGTTGGCAGATCAGTTAGCAATGAAATGTGATGGAGAATGTCGTTTATTCTGGCTTGCTACCATGTGACAACCACTTGCCTTTTTGTCTCTACCAGAACGTTACCTCTTGCTGATTGAGAAAGTATCTTTCTTCATGCAAATGCACACAGACCCAGGCCCTGCAACTCGTCATGAGACTATGGGGAGACCCCAGGAACCCAGCCATGCCCTTTACCATTTGCAGATTGCAAGGGCAGATATAGCCATTACTAGAAGCATTTATTTGGCCAGTGCCACAGAAAATGCCATTGCTCTCAGGTGAATAATTTCCTTTATTAAAACTTTTCTTTTATTTTTGAAAGTCTTAAATATGTGTTTTTATGATCCGGAAGAGAAAAAAGAATCCTTAGCAGTGAGAAAAAGATTTTCAGGGTCCTTGTCCATCTGTACAGAGACTGAATTTAAAAGGTTAACACCAGTAAGAAAACACTGTGACATCTAATAACATGTCAAAGTGCTCAGCAAACAATTACTTGGTAGAAATACTGCATACATAGTGAAAGGGAACAGAAAGTGTCAGTTCATAGGAATAATTCTAAAACTTAAAACTAAAATATAGAGGTTGCTGCAGTTGCTCCTTAATGATGTTTACATTTACGTGAGGGCAGAGTAGACCAAAATGGCCTCCAATTTTTTTCCCCTGCATTTATGTGAAATGCTATGGTTTCTACAAAAAGGTCCCTGAATATTTGAGTAAGCTTTTACTTTAGTGTCTGTCAGTGTGGGTTTGCAAAAGGCACTCCTGTTATCTGCTAGAGAGATTACAGTACAAGCAGCAACAGCAAGAGCTTTGCCGTGCTATCCTGCATTAGGCTCAACTGACACTTAGGAGAAGCATGAGTAGGCATGAATACTTTAGATTACAGACCTTTGGCTGAAGCTAGAATTAAAATTTCTATCTTGTAGGGTTTTTTGAGTAAAAAGGCAGTAGATCAACTTGACATTTGTGGGCTGAGACCATGATGTTCATTTCATAACAGCTGACAAAATATATTTTGCCAAGCTGAAATTTCTTTAAACATGAAGGAAAAAAAGTGTACTTTCCAAAAATCACCTAAACCCCTTTGTGAAAAGCGACTGTGACACTTGGGGGATGTAGTCACACTGAAAAAAGCACACTCTGAAATTATTCCTGTCGTTCTGAATATTTAACTCCCAGGTAAGAGACTTTCTAATCATGTAAATTACAACAACATTGATTTAAACTTAAAAAATAATGAAATATAAATGTGAAGAAAAGTTTACGCACTTGTTTTACCTGTATGAGTCCTGGTATGAGTCTTCAGGTGATCAGATCTGGAGAACTTTCTCTGACAGGTTTTACACTGGAAGGGCTTCACACCTGAACAGACCAAAACCAAAATCCATTCTTACATCCAAACACCTTTTGGAAGGGTGAATGAAATCAGCCATTTTTAAAAGCCTGGATTTTTTTGTACTAGTTACTATAACTGCTCCTCCCAGCTTCATGCCTGCCCATTACAGAAAGTCATTAATCAGCCTACCACCCCCTTGTAACCTCCTCTGCCAGAGTCTGGGTCTGAAGCATCCAAACAGCACCATCATCAACAAACACCCACTTACACTGCTGGACTAAGAAGCATCTACAAACATTGTTAGTTCTGATCCTGTGGCCTGGCAGTACCGATATCATGTATGAGCAAATATCATGTAAGAAGATTAGAGGTGCAGAGCGATATCTTTATACACTCCCAATAGGCTTAACTTACTTTATACTTCTACTACTTTACGCACTACGCTAAGTCTTGGGGACTGCTTAACACAGGGATATTCCAGCATGCAGTTGCTAGGAATGTATCATCCCAGTAGAGTACTTTTATAACCAGCTTTCTGAGACACTTCCTACATCTCACAGTAACACTCTTTAAGTGGGATAAGAACATCTTTAGCAAGAAAAGTAGTAGGCAGAAAACTACCACAGAACAGTGGGTGAACCAATTGTCAGGCCACTCCCTGAGATACAGGAGACCCAAATGCAATTTCTTGCTGTGACTTCAGAGGAGTACCCTGAAGCCCCTTCGCATGTCCATGCAGAGTACCCTCATGGTTCTACTCACAGCTAGGAGCTGGAGTCACCACCACCTCCTCTGCTGTGACTGTGAGGAGGGCACCTGTCTCCCCCGTCAGTCTAATCTAGACCTTCAAGAACTCCTGAAATGCTGAAATGGGCTGTCTTGACATTTCCAGAAAATGGTGTATGTACAAAAAACAACATGCTGAATTTGGACTGAACTTACAAGTCATTTTGGCTGTCTCGGAACATAGAACTCAGTAAATCACTCACTGAGACAGATCCACAAGTCTAGGGAGGACCCAGACCCGTTCACAACTGCTGCTGCCCTCCCCGCTGAATGTGAGCTGCTATACACTTCCCGGGCTATTTTTGCAATCCAACCAGCCAGATCTTTGACACTTCACTCCTTGCTGCTCCTAGAATCCTTTAGTTGGCACAATTCAAGAAAGGCTCAAATCTAAGCTGAAGTGGTTTGCTGAACTAGGATCTTAAGCATTATAGCTGGTGTGGCTTTTCCTTCTCTACTTCTGCTCTCCACAGATAAGTGCACAGTAATTCCACCAGCCTTTCAGGTTATGCACATGCAGCATTCACCTATTAGCACTGCCACATGAACATCAGAATACCAACGGTAGCATCTATCGGGTTACTTATTGGCAACTTTTTCTTGCAGAACTGTTTGGTTCTAAAAAATAATATATTACCTATATTGGGGATACAGTACAGAGCAAAGAGTTTCATTGAGAAAGCTGTTTTGAAAAGATGGTGGCAGGGTGAAAGGGTCACCTATACAACCATAGTAGAGCTGAAATGCCAATAACAAAGCCCAGCTGCAATCCTCTCCTAAAGCTAACTTTAAGAATTTGGCACTATGGGTATCACATATGAGCAGACACAACATAAGAAAAATAGAAGTTTAGAAGTAAACTTTTTGGATTGCAATTTACATATAAAGATGAACTCTAATGAGTAGAGATGTGTTGTCAACAAACCTGTGTGTCGTCTTTGGTGCCGTTTGAGTTGGTCTGAACGAGAAAATCTTCGTTCACAGTCCTTAAAATCACACTGATAAGGTTTTTCACCTGTAAAGGACAGTTTATCAGAAAATGTGGCTAAATGAGGGGACACAACCAGAATCAGAAGATGAAACGTGTTATACTAAAGGACTTAGACTTCTGACTAAAGTGCTACACCGGGACTCATTTTCTATAAAACCATACAACTGTGTTGGAATCAGTGGGGAAAGGCTGGCATAATTCTACTGCATTGGCACCGATACTGAATCTGCTCATTCTAAAAAAATACTTCATTAGGTTAAAGCTACAAAAAAAAAAAAAATCAGGTTGCATCTTCCCCAAAACACAAGTTATGTTTCTTCCACAAAGCACCATTAAACAGCATTTCTCATGTAGCTGCACATCTCCCGCAGGCAAGCCCGTGAATTATTGCAAAGCCTCGTGTAAATATAGACTCTTCCTCCACCTTCCATACGGTTCAGCAGAGATCTTCAGAGTGGGTTTTCTCTGGGTTGGAAAGCAAGATTCTGACTTTTTGAAAAAATGAAATCCTCACAAGCCAGTGTCTCAAATGAACATGGTTTTCAACACAAAGGACTTCACCAACCACATAAACATGCAAAAGGAAATGCAGTAATTGAGGGAGGAGCTTGAGGAAAGAGGGAAGCACTGCTGACACGTAGCATACCACAGAGATGGTGAAATTTGGTCAGCACAAAAAAAATAATCCTTCTGCTGTTACAGGAGGAGCTGTATGATCTTTCAGATAGGATTTGCATCTAGTCTAAGGCCCCTTTGCATGATACTGGAACCCTGCAAGAGCCTCAGATATAATGACATTCATACCTACATAAAGTCTGTTTACAGTGCCATAGCCCCGCCCAGAGGCCTCAGCACAAGAAGTAATGAAACATCTCTCGCTGCAAAGCCTGGGTTTTATCTACAAGGTACACACCAGACCAGCTGGGACCTGCTTTGTCTACGGTGGAAAGCTGAGATGTAAAACAAAAGTCCGGTAGAAAGGACCTAAAGAAAAACATCAGCTGAAATGGGCAGTGGGTTTTCTTTCTCTGGGTATATTTTTAAACATATCATTTTCATAAATTTTCATTGCAAGTGTCTTCATTTCTGATTTGATGATGATGAGGAAATATATTCTGGTTGCACTGGTATCTCAGAATACCTAAACTATTTTAGTTTAAAGCAAAAGCTTTCTGATCTAGGTAACTCTGCATAAGTAGGACATTAAGGACAGCATTCCAAATTCATACCAATGTGGCTAAAATCAGAATTTCACAAAAGCAACTAAATCTGCAAGAACAAGCCAACTTCCTGTGACAGTCACCCAAAGGAGTTTACTGATTCTCAAACCTAGGTGTGGACAATTTCCATGTCTGCTGTGCTTAATTTATTAGCATAAGGGATTAAAGTTGCCACAGGTGTTTGAAATAGTTCCGTACACTTTGACCGCAAGGACTCCCTGGGGGGTGCCTGCTTTTCAGAAACCACTTACTTCCAAGGAATTCAGCCCTTTGGCAGATTTAAGAGGGGGAATGTCAGCAGAGCAGAATGCAGTGACAGGATGATTGTCTGCTAATTGCAATATAAACGCAGAAGATGGTTAAGGAGGTATTTGAATAAAACAGTATAGAGGGTCTGATGGCATGCACATGAAAGTATTTCTTTAAATACTTTGAAATATAATCTTGATTAAATTAAGGACAAATTTAGCCAATGCATATATTAAGGGAATCAATACAAGATGCTTACACAGAGATATGATGACACTGCTTAGAAAACAAGAAGCAGAGACACAATATTTGGACAGAAATCCTAATTTCCCTTTCCTTCTCTACATCTTCCACGTAGGCCAGTGCCAAGGAAAATGCCTGCCAAAGCCAACTGTCACATACCTGTTAACTCCCAGAAGTTCTGTCAGAACAGGAGAACAGAAATGTCCCAGATTAGAAAAAGTCTATTAGTACCTCATTAAACCACTGTACCCAGAGGGGTCAGAGCAGTGTCTAGTTTCCTCAGGCCTATTAAAGCCTCTCCAGTAAAAGGCTGAAGTCTCTTAATGTATGAAAAATATCTCATAATGCTGTCACCTTCCCATGGGACCATGTACAATTCCAAAACAAAATAGGAGATGAAGATAAAGCTTCACCAGTCCTTCCACCTGTGACTCGGAGTCTTCCATGACTATTTACATTTCATTACTGAAAGAGGCACTTAAAAGAAAGGCTAAGCAGTGCATAAGGAAATAGTCAGGATGAGGGAGGATAAAGGAAATAGCAGTTCTTTAATATTTAGGAAAAATAAAGCTCAACAGTCACAGAACAAATATGAAACAGCCTTTGCATGTATTGCAATAAATGTTTCTAACAAAACAGACTTATTTGTTCAAAAATAGTTAAACTAGAGGAAGCAAGCACATTTTCTCTGGAGCAAATTCATTTGCCCAAATGCATGGGAAAATAGAAACTCCTACTGCTGCAGCAGTTGCACAAAATATTCATAATCGTTGCATTTAATTAAGAAGTGCTACAAGAACAAAAGCCTGCTGCTAGCAAGAAAACATGGGGAGAGGAGACTGATTTTGAAACCAGAGATTGCAAATCCGGAGGCTTGTCTATACTCCCCTCACCAGCTTAAACCCTTTTTCTTGGATACCCACCTAATCAAACGAGCACAACCCCATAACCACTTTACCTCACTAATATTTTTCTATTCAATATGTTTCTTTATTTGGTAGGGACCCTTTATAGGTAAGGGTTCCTGTCACCTTCACACCAGAGTTGAGGTGTGACGTGTCATGACTGTTTTGAAACTAGTCTTGTATTTTAAAGACATAAGTATTCTTACTTCACGCCATAGAAATGAAAGCCTAACAGCAGTCCATGCTGGGTGAGGCCAAAGGTCCCCGCTGCCCATCAGCCTGCCATCACCCTCACCAAAGGCTTGCAGGAGGGCAGAAGATAGCAGGGGTGCAGCAGGACTTTCCCTGGACGCTCCCTGGTATCCAGCAGTTCATGAGTTAGCAGCTTTCTGAGCCAAAGGTGGCTTTCTATTTCACACTCATTAATGGATTTTCTTTCCATTAATTTGTCCAGTTGTTTCTTGAACCCATGCAAGCTTTCAGCTTGCACGGTATTCTGCAGAATAGTATTCCATGGCTTAAGTATGAAGGTTGGTATTTCAAAGCAACATTAATGAAAGATTGCTATCCTAGAAGTTACCACAGCAGGCTCTTAAGAGGAGAGCCTGTGTGGTTCCCAGCTCAGGCCCAATCACACACACTTGACAATTTATCATCTCTGTATACAGAGAACTTTGCTTTGTCTTTCAAGGTGGTGTAATGACAAACTGCACTAATGACTAGAAGGCACTTAGCAGCATGGTGGCACATGCCATAGTAAAAGGGTATTTGCTTTCGTCAAAGCAAAGAAATCATTACTGGATGATAAGCATAAAATCATTACAGGACTGCACTGCTCAAACCTCCCAGAGCGTCAGAAATTCACCACCAAGAGCTGAGTCCCCCACCACCACACACAGGACAACCTTCCTGATTTACAGATCCTCATCCCTCATTGTACAGACCGATACCTGCAGCTGGCCATATTTAGGCTGAAGAATATCCCTGGCAAACAGGCAGAGGATATTTCCTCTGCAAAGATGCTCAGCTTTCTGCTAGGATAAATCCAGTTTTTCCAATGTGTGGCACTGAACCCAAAGGGGCTCTGGCAAGAATGCTTATGTTTCCACAATAAATGAAATTTATGGAGGTCTAGACATCAAATTGTTTCTGCAAAGAAGTCTCTGAAGTCTGCCACAGGATGACAACTCACATTAATTGCTGTACTCTTGAAAAGTTACAAGTATTTTTGCATTTCCTTTCAGAGGCCTATCTGCTGCAGCAAAATACACCAAGATAAGAAAAAGGTTTTTTGGCTGTACATGTTTCAATAAAGGCATTGCTAACAATGGATAAGCAGTCTTGGAGGGTACAAAACATCAACATATTTTCAACTAAGGCTATGTTGAAACATGGGTAAAAACTGATTACAGAATCCAATTTTGTGTTTCAGGGCACTGCTTGGTTTTGCAATGCTGCAACCAGTGAAGAATGCTAGAACTGATAAGCCAGTCTTCTGTACTTGTCTATCATAGAAAGAAAAAAGATAATCAAGAGCCAACATTGTTCCACAAAGATACTATCTGCTGGTTTAGTACTAGATATACGTAACAGCTTGTTTTCAAATCATGTGTTCAGAATTTTAAAATTCACCTACCACTACTCTAAGAAAGGTGGAAGAGCTTCAAGTCCATGAGTGAATCCAGAACCACCTTACAGGAGGACTAATAAAATTCTGTGCTGGCTGTAGAGACGTGTATCAAACACAACCACATCATCCTGCACTTGACCTGACAGCTGACAGCCTTCCTGACATTAGCCTGTCTTGTCAGGATCCTCCCCATCAAAACATTGAAGCAGAAGAAGAGGAGACACATCCCTTCCTTTAGTAAGAATATTAAGTGTTATATTTGCCAACTACTTTCTGTCTAATATGCTAATTCCACCAAGTCCAATTTCTGTACCTAGTAGAGAACTCTAGAACGAGATTTTGGAGCTCATTGGGTTAGGAACACAAAGATGATCAGCCAGCCTAAGAGACAGCAACATAGTTACCCACATAAACCAACAGCCCCACTCTAATCATACTGGCCCCTACCATATCAAACCAAGCAGGTGGAGAAAAGAAAGTGTGAACAGTAGCTACTGTAACTCTTAGCAAAAAGACACACACATTCTTCATAACCATGATTGATTTGCCCTTGAAGAAAACTGGTTTCCAAATTTTGCTTTTGACAATCAGATTTTTCACAAGCAGGAGACACAAACCAGGGTTAATGACATGAAGTTACAAGGGAAAATGGAAATGGATTTGCATCACAAAAGTCAGTTCAACTGCCCGGGACTCCTGAAGAGCTGGGATTGAAAAAGACCACTGTAGCCACCAAGTCCAGACTCTCCACCACAGCAAGCAGACACGAACTCAGAAGTGTTCACAGACTGTCCACTCCAGATGCTCCCATACAGTATAGTTCACCAAGCACTCCCCAAAACCAGGGGAGCAGACAACAGGAGGAGACAAGAAACAAAGGGCATCGTATTCTAAGCCTCTACAGCAGCTGGAAATTTGGCAAGTAAAATTTCCAGACAATAATCATAGGAAAAGGCTAGTACCCATCCAACAGGGTGAGGACAAAAACCTGCCAGCCTGCTAAAGGGGAGAACTCCCTTCTGATCCTAAAGTTGAATGCATCAGCCAGGCAAGTTACGCAAGCAGTTCTCACACCGGCAGTGCGCCATGCCTTACTTCCTCTCTTCAGCTGCAACTAACCTCGAAAGCTTACACGGTCTTATCAATGGCAATGTTTGTATCAGCAAAAACAAGCTTTGGGAGTCAGGTTGGCCTCTCGTGGAAAACAGCTTGCAAAGGCTTGAGAAATAAGTAAGTTTTGTTGTGGCAGAAAATCTGGGTCCACCACAGAAGAGATGTGTGTGGGGAAAAAAATATTTTTCTTCTAGCCTGTTCCACTATCACATAAACTGAAAGAGAAGGAAGGGGCATGCACGATCTCAAAGACAATGGGAGGAGTCTCTCTAAGGGTGCTAGACAGCCACAGTCCTATCCCCTAGGTCTTCTGGGGCTTTTGTAGCTCTGCATGCCTAGATTATATGTGGTATAATGCTGGAAATCTCCAGTTGAGGAAAAAATAAAGATGGAAACTGAAGTCCTTGTGATGCATCCAGAAATAATATTGCAAAAGCCAAACAACTAGATGGAATAAAATACAGGACCAGAACAAACCAATTATGACTGTTAAAATACAGAGTAAATCACTTTAGGAATGAAATAAATAGTGATTATAAGAAAAATGCAGAACTGTTTAGGCATACTCAACAAAAATACCACAGTTAATGGACCCCGAAGATCTCAGAAATTTTTTTCTGTTTCCAATTTATTAACAGAAAATAGAATAGCATTTCTGTACACCTTCAGCTCTAAAGACTAAATTCTGGTTCCAATCTAAATTAACTTGAATGTGTGATCTGAGCAACACTGAAGATGTCTGAATATTCTGTGACTTGCCCATTAAAAAATTAAAAACACTTTTTAATGTTCATTTCTCACCTATAAGTATTTTACACAATTAACTAATGTCACCACATGCTCTCCAAAGGGAAAAGTTTGCAACTCTTTTAAATGCAATGTTGGGCAATCTGCTATCACAGCAGTACTACTGACTGTTCCTGTTTCATCCCTTTGACCTTCTGTCATGTTATGGTTAACTAAGCATTCCTATTTACAGATTTTATCCACCGATTTCTAGGTTAGCACAGAAAGAACTGTCTAAATAAAAATAGGATAAGGCGATCAAAAGCAGTTCACAAGGAGCTTCTCTAAAGGTATATCATAATTATGCATTTCCAATGGTATAAATCTCCCAACAGGGAAAATAATTCTATTTACTCTTTGGTGAGATGCAGCAGGGCATTTGATTTCCACATTTTGAGATGTAACGTACATTGTCTGAGCTCAAAAAGAATCCAGATCCGAGCCTACAAATGACTGGCTTCGGGCTCAATTCTTCTCGGAAAGATTCCAGAGCAGGGAAGCTCATTTGCTAATCCCTGGCTCCTCCCCCATCTAGAAAAGGCTTACACAGGAGGACAAGAGGATGCTAAACATCTAGGCTCCTCTTGCAGAAGAAACTTCTTATTCGTGAACAACAGCAAAGATTTGGAGCAAGCTTTGATGCTCCCGAATGGGGAGGGAGGGGGCAGGAAAGTGAGAGGAGTCCCAGCCCTGAAGGGTGCACAGCAACAGGCAGGGGGAGGGAGGTGATCTACTCGCTGTCAGCGCTGCGCGGTGGTTTTCTTCACTAGAGTCAGAGAATCATCTGCATCCAAAAGAGGGATTTCCCAGATGACAGAGCACATACATACTCGTCTGACAGATTGTCACTGCCCCTGACCTGGCAGATCATTTCTTGCACCTTATGCTATTTTAAAGTCGCCCTACCCACTTTGCTGTCCAGTGCTGTAAGGTGATTTATACCAATCCATGCTGACACTTACCAGTGTGCTTTCTGCTGTGCATCTGTAAATGGGACAACTTAAAGTATCTCTTGTTACAGCCCGGGTACGCACACATGAAGGGACGTTTTTCATTTGTCTCACTTGTCGATCGGACAATAGCTGGAGCTACTCCTGGCACCCGCCGGACATCCTACAACGACAGAGACTTGCTAATGCAACATGTATGTTCTCAAGCTTTTACTTTACATACTCAAAGACAAACAATCAGACGCACTTCTCCCGGACAAAGAGATACTTAAATATATTATACTGCAAACAGACAATTTTATTTTATTCCACATTAACGAAGTACAACCTTAGTATACCTTCACCCGTTCTTTGCAGAATATTAAAATTATTTGAAGGTGAAATACAGTGAATTCTACTTACTAAATTCTCTCACCAATATTTATATGCAAGATTCAATAGCTCAGATTCTGACCTCGTGTATAATCACACAATCCTGGAAGAACAATCACTGGCATATGAAATAGCTGTAGGCTTATACCAGTATAAGAGATAGGAGCACAAGCCAGAGTAGCATTCTGCTCTTTTAAATATTCATATGAAGTTAAAGGTCAGGGAAGTGAATGTATTGGGTTAATATAAATGGGTAAAAAGACAAAACAAGACTGTCTAGGTGGAGCTGGTGAATAGTTCAGCCTTAATGCATTTTGGCCACTGTCACAATGTTCCATCAAAGATGATCATCTTCTTCTGGGATAATGAACTTCCTCAAACAACGTCAACTGCTTGCTTACATTCACTCAGCAAAAGCTGGCTCATGAGCCTATTTCTCAGAGCTTGCTACTGAATAATGACTTGTGAAACTATACAGAAAAGGAAAAGGAGAAAAGATGCTATCGAAAAACACTGATGCATGCTGACAACACAAAGCAACACAGAAGAGACAGATATTATGTAATGACTTTGCCATCAGTTTTAAGAAGATATATATTTCACAGTGGTATTTATTGATTATGTGACTACTTCAGAAAGGGAGGAAATTAACTCCCATGAATGGTAAGTTCCTTCTAGATATTCACTAATTACTTAGTTGTTAAGAAACCATCACTTATTATATTTTGTTTTAAGGAAATATGTTTGAATTAGCAAAGTTTCAGAAATCCGTAATAGCAAAATGTCATCTAACACTTTCTTATATATAGTTATCAGACATTGTAACCACAGAAGCTTCACACAGCCAAAGGGACTGGAGCTAGAAGTTGGAAACTGGATCATATATTTTGGACCATCTTGAAAAGCGGGTAAGGAATATTGCCTTGCAGATATACTTTAGAAGAAGAAATAAACAATTTTAAATTTTGAAAGAAATCTTACATTATAGTTCAATGGCTTCAGTGAAGACAGGCTACTTATGTAAAGCATTTCTTGAGAGCAGGGAAACCACAAATCGATTTATAAAATTATAATTTAGAAATACCAGTGAAGTAGTAAATGAACATTATAAACAGGCAACAGTTTTACTTCCCTACAAAGAATGCCCTACTATACTCACTTGTATGCCTCTAAAAACTCCGTGAGTGTGTATTCTGTACTGGGCCCCACAGCTGTATAACATGGGAGCGCTGTGGTTCTCATTTTCATATCCTGCTGTATGGCTGTAAATAAAGAGGGGAATAATGGAAAATGAAATATTTTTCAGTACTCAGCTCCATGTGAGAGGTTTCATTTCTTAAGTCGGTGATAACATATGCAGAGTTCACTTTTACAGCAAGGATATCCCAGTTCAAATGAAATTCTCCAAAGGAAGCCTGCTCTGCCTCTGTATGGATCCGCTCCCTGGGCACAGGGCACTGACTCCATACATACAGCTATTAGTATCCGTTAAGACAGTCCAGTTAAAAAAAAAACAAACAAACAAACACTCATGATTTGAACCCTGATGTATTTTCACAAAGATTTTAGGTAAGAGAAAAAAATCCACATAGCAGCATAACTGTGTCATGTGCACATGTACACATTATTTATCAGTTAAATGTGGGGCTGGCTATTGCTAATATCTTTTGGAATGAGCAAAATGCCTCAAGTTTCACATTAAGTGCAGAGGATTTTTGTCAGCACCTCATGACTCAGATATTACCAGATACTACCAAGAAAGTGATGACATTTATAAGAATAGCAGTCATGTACTCATAAACGGAGATTAAAAATCAGTGTCCAAACTATTTATTCCACATATCAGCTTGCAGGATGCACTACAAATTAACCCTTTACAAAAACAAAATTAAAAAATCAAAACCAGCCGATCCCTACTAGGTATAAATTTCAAAATTCTTCATGTAGCACCATCACAATAATTTTTAAAATTTGTAACCTTTGTTGTGTTTTGTGGCTGTCAGAACCATGTGTTTTATCTACCTGTATTGTTCAAAATCCTGCGTTCTCCTGTGCAGAACATTAGAAACATTGCTGTGTTTCCTGTTTTCAACCTTCTTAATGTCAAAATTATGTAAATAAATGTTAGGTTTTATTTCTAAATGAGTATGTTACATTAGTATGTACATTGCCACATGTACTAATATACATCGGCAACAGTAAGTGTTCATGTTTTACACTGCACTAGAAGTTAGAAAGCCCAGAACAAAGCCCAAGGGCACACAGCTAGGGACAGAGATGGATACATAGGATGTTATCCCACTCTTTGCCAAATGCTTGCAATAGCAATTTGAAGGGTTCCCGGAGGCCCAGACTCTCACTTCACTGGTTCTTCCTTTCTCTTCACTCAAAGTTCATGTGCAGAGTAGAATTACAAGGAAGTTTTAAACCTCTTAAGTGATTTGCAGAACAACCAGTGGAACTGGAATGCAGGAGATGTCTAAATGGTTTGTGAACCTCGCTCAACAGGAGGGGAGCAGTATCTGTGAGCAGCTCTCACCGCAGCCTGTGGGCTGCATTCCTCATTATTTGTCCCCAGAGTGGCTCGCAGGCTGCCACCTGGAAGATGTGTTCCTTTAGATCGATTCCTTTGCTGCTTAAAATGCTAGTTACAAATCCTGGCTCCACCTGGCTATTGAAATCCCAGGCTACACCGTTTAGGAAGTGTGCCCTGTTTAGTTTTAAGTGGCAAACAGGTGATCATAATGAGATAAGTTATAGGGTGGAGGCAAGAAAGGATCTCTCTGATCTGTAGCAATATTTGTAATAATAGATGAAGGAAGATACCGTTATCTGATTTAAAGGGATTAAAGTCTTCTCTAGATATGTATCATATCCACGTAAATAGGGCCCCCTCTCCTCTCAGGGCCCAGATGTGGCCTTTTGTTCCCTAATACAAGTGACAAATTACCATTTTCTTAAAGCAGCATCAAATATTCCTCTCTGTTTAAAGGCAACAAGTCCATAGATATTAAAAAAAGAAAAATGGTTGAAAGAATCCCAACCCATGGTGATACCCACGTTGATTACAAATTAAACAGTGCATTTTAAAACAGAAATTAAATGAGAACTACCATTTATAGGGAGGAAGTTCTGCAGTAGAAGCTGTTGCTGATCTGTAACATAGCAGCAAATCAAGGGTAAATATGAACTTCAGCATTAGTCACCCTAAGTAACCACATAACCTCTCACTCACACCTGTCCTACCAACCTCACACATGACAACAAGCAAGAGACACAAAGATAGATAAGAAGAATTCCCAGGACAGAAACTTTAGAAGGAGGAACAGGAATACACAGTAAAAGCTTATACCATAAAACACAGTCTAACTTTCCCTCCAGATCCACATGATTTCCATCATGTAGTGATAACCATTTTTGTGAAGATCAGTCAGTTCTGGAGTAGTTCCTCCCAGGAATAAGAAGCAGAACAAAGACCTTGTCCGTGCCCTAAGAAATGGCTTGGTGAATGGGAGGGACCCTCCAGATGATCCCCACCTCGGTTTTTATTGCACAGTTGGGAAGCTTTTTTCAACATTCAGCCTTTTTCATACTTCCTCCCATTATTTCTAGCTATATTTCATTAAAACTGTACATACAGCTGCAAAGCCTTGAAGATTAAAACCTGTTTTCTGAGCCTCTTGACCTATAATATACTAAGTAATGAATAGCCATCTCCCATAACCAGCTCCCTAGGAGAGGCTTTAACAACCAGGAACCCTAGTTCCCATTTCACATTGGGCACATTTCCATCAACACCGGCTGGTACTCGGTGTGGTCATATGGATGATGACAGCAAAATGGATCACGTGAGATTTTTTGGTTAAAATACTATTTATTCACTATGAAGCACTTTGGGATAATCTGACCTGCAGGGAGATAGAAATTAACAGGTGAATGTTCTCTCTGGTCAGTGGATAAACTGGAACACTGAAGGAGGAGTGTTCCACTACACCACTGCTCTCTTGAACTTCACCCTGCACTGATAGTAACCTCATTGTGAAATATGATTTTTTATCTTCCAGCCTCTTTATTCAATGCATCCGTGATGTGCGCCACAAAATGTATACAACAGTTTGCACAGTTGGCTTGTTTTGTACTGCTGCAATTTATATACTAAAAGAAAAATCCTGATAGAAGAACCTTTATAAATCTCCTAAATACATTACTGCAACTCAAACACCCACTTTATTGCATACAAGAGATAATGATTAGATGCAATGCCACATACATAAGCAGTACAAGTAACTGGTGAATTTGTACCTGCAGTACATTAGCTAAATGGAAATCTTTAGGAGATTCCTGGAATTTCATCTTTTCCAGTCAGGCATGCTATGTTTAACTAGGCAAAGAGACAATGCCTTATGCACTTAGGCCACTAAATCCATAAGTATAATAATGAAAAATAACCCTGATAGACTCTCAGGACTAGATAACAGCCTCGATCCCCACCGCAGCACTGCAATGTGTACACTGTACACCCCAGATATGCATTATAAATTAAAAAGAAGATGCATTAGAGATTACACTGCACCATCCAGATGAACAGTGATAATCCAGGGTAGGTAAACACTGATACTTCAGGAGAGACTGCCTTCTGGGAGCAGGACCCACATGTTCTCTCTCAGCAGGATGGGCTGCTCAGGCAACACCACAGCAGCCTGGAGAACTGCCAAGGGAGCCGCTCGCCGCCCTGCTGCAAGTGCACCCAGAGCGCAGCGGAGAGCAGAGGCAAAGCTCCTATGCTGTGCCTTCCCCTGCTCCAAAGGCTGAGCAGCCCCCTGGAGAAACTCAGCTAAAGCCAGGGGGATAATCAGAGGAGGCAAACAGTTGACCTAAGCAAAGAAGAGGGAAAAAAAAAAAAATCCCAGTAAGGGCCAGAGTTATAGTTAGGAGAGACAATAGACACTAGGAATCCTCCACGAGTCCTAAAAGGAATCAAAACTAAGCAGGGCCAGATGCAGCCAAACTGTCCTGCCAGGATCCAACAGAAATTTTTGTTCAAGCAAGGACTGAAGGATTTGGCCTCACAGTCTACTTCTGCCTTTACTTGTAAATATACAACTCCCTTTAACTTCAATGTGAACTGCACAAAGGCAGAACTGGACTGTAAATATTTAGAATTTGAGTTAGTTGGTGAAAAAAAGGACTCAGTATATTTTGTTCTCTGGTTCTAGGCAGCCAGAAACAGACCTCAAAACATAGCCATAAAATGTAACTCTAGATAACTGGGAAACAAAGACTGATACTTACACAACAGAAAACGCTAAGCAAGCGCTATGTGTTGTTGAGTATTTAGAAGCACTTGCATTTACCATTAGCCCAGCAAATCCTTAACACTCAGAGAGTAGCTCTTTTAAAATGATTAATCTCGAAGTTGTACAGATTGTACAAAGATTAATAAAAATGAAGGTTTTACAGATGAGAATGTGTGATGAAAACCAGAGCAGCTTTAGAGAGTTGTATCAATCTAAGTGGTTATAAAAAAAACTCATAAAAGATGACATTCTAATCTGAATATTCTAGAAAATAATCAAGCTGCAATTTCTCTCTCACACCATTTTTACTTTGTTAAACTGAAATTGTCTGTCTAATGTATAAAGCAGTTACAACTTAATCTGAAGAGTTAAGCTTTTTATTATTATTTCATAAACCAAAAAAGGGAAGCTTGGGGCATACTGAGGAGAGTTAGAAAATTTCAGATGAACTGTGAATACACATTGATTCATGAGATTCAGACTTGGAAGAATAAAAAAAGCCAGAAAGCAAGATTACATAAAACAGGCACCACATTAAGCCTCAATTTAATTGTGTTTCAATGCAGGAACAGGAATTTTAGGGTTTAGAAACAGAGCCAAAAATGAGGCAAAGTGAGGGTGTGGGCTAGTCCCGTTGATAACGGAACATAAAGGAAGAGAAGTAGAGTTAATTCCCTCTGCTAAAATATTTACCATCCTAGCACCCTGGGAAAAATATGTATGGAGACAGCAAAAAGATTCTGATTAGTTATATAGAAGATCACGTTTCTGCCTGGTTTTTGTCTAATACTATTACAGAGGGTGGAGTATAAAGCTGCGTTTTTATCTTCACTTTCCAAGGCAAAGGAATATTAAAAAATGTGATTTCACAGATTACAGCCCTTCTGCCATCTTCAATGAGAAAACCAGCTGGTTGGTGAAATGAAGGCACTGGATTTTCAGGGGACCTTTGTCTCTCTGACTTCCATCGTCTTTGTTTGGTTTGGGTATTTTTACGATTGACCTGAGTAGAATCAGGATTTCACCCAACGCTTCCCTTCAAAATGAGACCCTCAGCTATCAGTGGGAAAGGGAAAATTCAGTGTGAGAAAAACAACAGGTCATTGTCCATTTCCAGTTCAGCTTGATGGCAGAACTGAGCCCAAGTAGGAAGCTTTGCACCTCCAAATTTTACTAATAGTACTGCCAAAGCTAAACAGAAAAGCCTCTGCAATTCACTCCTAGACAAAATAAGTTTTCACTGTCTGGTTTTAGATGCAGTTTTAATGGTGTTCTACAGAGCTCATACCTAATTTTCCTTCCTCAGTGAGCCTGAGCAAACAGCAATAAATACAAATTTCCATGGAACATGGTGACTGTTTAACACCCAAGCAAAATCAAAAAGGATAAAAAGCAAATTTTGTCTGGTTATATACTCGATTTCAGATAACTGTTGGAAATATGGATCCAAAATTTTTACTCAAGTGGCTGAAGAAGCAACTATGCAATATTTCTGTTAAGTCTTCCTGTTGGGTACGTGGCTACACTTCCTGTCTACCATGCCATTTCGTTTCCTACTTGTGATAAGTTATTTCCATTTTATACAGAACTCATCAAAATATCAAGGCGAGTTTTATAGTCATTACGTCTACCTCTACAACCACACTATGAAGGGAAGCAGTATTTTCCATATTGGACAAATAAGAAAGCAACACCAAAATATTAAGGACAGAAACTGAAGGCAAAGGTGTCCACTGATGAGGGACAATAATTTTTAAATGTCTGGGACCTGGGATCTCAGGGTAATAGGCAAAGGACCCACTGACTTTCCTGCAACAGCATAAATCTGATCTTAGCTACTCCAACCAAAATACCACAAAATGAGAAACAAACCTTCAGCAGTCTGAAGAGATAAAATCTAATCCCACAGTGATGTTCACTGCTTTAACCATGAAGCTCTCCTTTCAGATCCTTGAAGCTGCCAGTATGTGTGACAGCTCTCGCAGACGAGTCAGCCCTCCCTCTTGTCTACCCAAAGTTCAGAAGGTGACAGAGAAGTCCCTGGACAAACAAGCAACACATAATCAAGGCCCTAGCTCACATGGCACTTCCTCACAGGAGTTATGAGCACAACTTGAGCTCAATCTTTGGCATTCAGAACCTAAGTGAAAACCCACAGCATAAATTTGTCACCTGGACTCTATATGGTAGCAGTTAGTGAGTTGTCGTCTTCTCCAGGGACAACTCCTTGCAGAGGGAACTCGGGTTGGGCCATCAGACCTCCTTTTG